ACGGAATATAATTATCGGAAATTCATAAATTTATATAATTGAAAATAGTTAATATGGAAAATATATAGTTATGCTTTAGCTATCCATGCACAATGCAATCAATCAAGTGAGACTATATACCGCTAAAAGATTGTGTTCTAAACTGACCCGTTTTACAGCGGATAAACTTTTTACAGAGACTGTCGCGCGACAGCAACCTTAAGGTTGAGCCGCTGCCTCACAACGGATAGGTTTCAGGTTCGATTCCTGGCTCCGTAGAATGGTGATATCTAACCAATTAAAATCTTGATTATCGTCGCCATCTAATCTAACAGAATCGAAGCAATGTAAAATAACCATTAAAAAAAATGGATAAGACTGAATCCCATCTTAATTAGTCTCTGTTCGGCAAAATTAAATTAAGAAAAAAAAAATAGTTTTAAAAATTGAATTGTAGAAAAACCTCAATTATCAAATTTCAGAGAATACTTGAACTCAAATCGTCGATTTCCGCTAGTATCTTCCTAAAATTATCAGCTCCCAATCACAAAATTTTGAAAGACTCTCGAAACAATCGCAGTTTTACATATTTAGCCTCTTCCGGTCCTCGGTTCTCCCGGAGGTGTCCCTCAATTACGATGATATTTATCACTCCATTCATCTGAAACCCTCACTCGGAATAATCCATTCGGCTTATCTAATCCTAAAATAGAAACTGGTAAGAAGTGTCCCATAACAGTCGAAAAAACCATCCACGAGAGATAACCGCAATCTCCTCTGATTTCAGGCGGATACAGAGCCCATCTACTGGTCATGGGTTCGTGCGATAGCAGCTGAACTCGTCCGTCAGACGCCATTCCGCTCCCGTCGCTGTCTAAATTTTCTTGAGATCCTGACAATATGCCCTCGAGGCTCCCTACCCCTTCCCGACAGTCCCCCAGACTCTCGCCGACGTTCCCGAAGTGAATTACGATGTCGCCTGGACGATTCCCCGATCGACAAGTCCCTTCATAGCCTCTCAATCCTAGATGACACCCGAAGACGAGCAAGAAGTGAATTGCGCTGCTGGTCAAGCAGCAATTCCAGTGACGAGGACATCGTCGGTGAATTTCGTTCAATTCCATCAGTCCTACCGAAGCCCCAGCCAACACGCACCTGGGGCTGTAGCGAAAGTAGCGAAGGAAGTGACGACAGTTTGCCTTGGGGTGCAAATACCACGACAATTTCCCTGCCCGAGGCACCAACCAGAGAGCAGAGGATTCAACGTTACAAGGAGGCGAGAAGACGTGAAAACGAGGCGAGAACCAAGAGAGTCCTCGAGGAGGACGCAAGAAGAAGAAAGGCAAGAGCCGAAGAGAACAACAACGATATCTCCAGGTACACAAAAATTCGAAATCGATTGTTTCGTGATGAGGACATCATCAAGACTGTCGACATATCCTTCACCGAGAGACTTCCACCGATAAAACCTGTCGAATCACGAGTCGTTAATACGAGATGTCTCGACGACTCGAGGAACAACAACATCTGCAGGAATTCCAATGTCCTTGTCGATGTAATGACGAGAGTTGAGACGAGTTATCTGGCGTCGGAGAGGAGGAGTCGAGCCAGGGAGAGGAAATCAATGAAGAATGAAGTGAAGGAGATGCCTGTCGTAGTTATTGAGGCGAAGGATTTGTCCTCGAATATTCTGTCGAGAATTCCCATCTCGAGGACGACGAATCGAGCCAACTCGAGTCCAAGGGCATCTACAATCGAGTCGAAGGATGTGATTGACGCAAGGGATCGGTCTCTAGGGAATTTTTCAAGGATCGGGGCCAGTCCGGGTGCTCTAAGTACTTGTGGAAATCCACCCTGCGAGGAGGATGTTGCTAGGTTGCTCGAGAGGTGCCAGAGGGTTGATCATTATGTTCCTGTCAGGGAGAAGCTCAATCTCTTTGAGTCTCTCTCGAGGATGGGTGGGAGGTTGGCTAGGAGTACAGAGGACCTGGGGAGGTCATCTGCAAGCAGCAGCCCCAAGGGCAAGCAGAGGGCACGCTCTCTTCATGATCTTAATCGAGGGGTCAAGGCTGTACCTGTCAGGGAGATGTGCAGGCTTTTTGAGGGGGACAACTCCAGGAATAAAGAAGTCTTGAGAAATTTGGATCCACCCTGTGTCAGGGCTTCCACACGACGACGACAGTACCTTAAATGATAGGCACCAAAGAATCGGTCCATGACCAGTTTTGTGTTCAACTCATTTTGTTGGGGAAAATTTCATTCGACTCTTGCCTTCCTATCAGTCATTACGGATTTATCTCGACATGAGAATTTTTTTCGGGAAACTTCAGTGGAAAAGCCGAATGGAAATTTCCTCTGAATGTGAATGAAAAATGTGGAGTTTGTTAAGTGTCGATTTATCTCGGAAACGAGGGGCTCTAGGGCAAGAAGACAGAAGAAGTTTTTTGGAGCTGATGAAATCTGCTACAAAAAAGTCGGGAGGTGCTTTTTTCTCAAATCAGCTTTTGCTGAGGTAATTCGATGGTTAATGAAGTGTAGAAAATTGAACTTTCAGTTTTCAGTGCTAAGATCTGATTCAATTACAGATTTATCTCGAAAATGAGGGGTTCTCGGTGAAAAAGTCATAAGAAATTTTTTGGAGCTTATGAAATTTGCGACAGAAAAGACAAATGATTGTTTTTTCAGAAATCACGCATTATCGGGTAATCTGATAGTTGATTTCACAGAAAATTGAATTTTCGCTTTTTGTTACTGAGATAGATCTGTCAATCGTAGAATTATCTTGGAAACGAGGGGTTCTAAGCGAGAAAGTCATAAGACTTTTTTTGTAGCTGCAGAAATCTCCAACAAAATATCTCCTATGAAGTTCTCCCTGAAACCTCTCATTATCGCCATAATTGACAGGGAAAGTCTTCGCCGCCCCTTCGAAAAATTAATGTTCGAGCAGGTCTGAAGAACGTTATAACTGTAGCTCGATTTTTGTCGATTGCAACAAGCATGAAAATTAATTTATAATTTTTGTAAAAAGACATTGTGTGACAATTGTATTTTTTTGTATTTTTGTTAAAACTGAACGTGTGAATTTTTGTACTCAAAAGAAAAAGAAATCGATGGAATTGGGTGGGAAATTCTGCTTCGTTGTAATTTTCGAATGGAAAATTCGTAACGGAAGATGAGAAAATGATTGGAAAAGTAAAAAAAATATATAAAATGAATAGAAAAAAAAGAATAATTTCTCTACGTGAAAATGTATTCCTTTTTTTGGAATTTCGAAAGCAGAGTGCGTGTTCGTTGAGTCTGGAATTCATGAGCAATATATATATTTTTTTTTTTGGCAACTCGCCAAAGAGGTCCTCTAGTCCTGAATAAAGTCATCGCAATCGAATGTAATGGAGATTATGAAATAATTGTGGAAAGTCGATGTAATCCGATGACAATTACTGTTCCCCTCTTCGAATTGTCAATTCCTATCCCCTTCCTTTGTTCATTGTCACATTGTAAGTGAATTGTTTTGCTCTGAAGACGTTAAGTTGTAAATTGTATAGTTTTGTAAACAAAATGTTTCTTTGTAATAAAATTCGGACGAACAATAGCTGCATTATGAAGAGCTGTTGGAACGTCTTTTTTGTTAATTCTTATTTATTTCATTTATTTTCCCAATTATTTTTCAATCCTCGTCCATTAATTATTATTCAGAATTTGTCAACATTTTCAACATTCTCTTCCAAAATTTTGTAAATGAAGGAAAGCTGCGGACGATGGAATCACAATATTTTCCTCTTATTATTAACTTCTGTTATAAAACTGCGATTTACGCAAAAAATAAAATGGAATTCCATAGAATTCTGATAGTAAACAAGTTTAGGATCTTCGATTGAAGATCGAATGATTAGATTTCAATAACAAGAATCACTCACCGGCGTTGGATGATAACAATATTATTGTTATCACCTCTCGTACCACGAAGACCTTGAAATTTCTGCAGACAGCCCATGACACTTTCCACAAAAACTGATATCCTCGAATTAAATATCCAGAATTCACGAAAAAAAAAATACAAAAACATCACGACTTGAAAATAAAGCATCCAACGTCATCTTGCGTATTTACGATTACACCGACCACAAAATCACCGAAATCACTTTGACACTATTAACAATTCCATAATTATAAACAAAATTCTTCACATTATTATCTCCAATTATTCCAGACTTAACCCCATTTTTAGTAAATTTCCAATTCAATAAATACGACAAGGATTTTTAAACTGTAGAATCATTTCGCAATCATTTAATTCCTTTCTCATTACTGAGTCACTGCGTTGTTTTTGTAAGACAAACAAGACTAGAATTGTCAAATAATCATGAATATACAACAATCAATCACTGATAATGGGTATTGATTATTGATAGTAGAACATTCTGTGTATTTTGGTGGTACACGAGGTGTTTATTGTGAATGTCAACACGAGATTTGATTTTTAATCATCGAAAGATCCAAGCGTCACAAGATGGCGCCTGCTGTCAACTCTAAGATAAATAAAATAGCCTTCTGAACAGTTTGCAATTTAATTACTTTAGAATGAATTACGATACTAATTGATAAAGAGAATAGAGGGTCTGTCGATTAGAATAATAATCGTATCATTGCATTTTTTCAGAAATTAGAATTTGCTAATTTTTAAAGCGTGGGAGTACTTGAGAGAATAATTCACATTTTGATTACACAAAATTATACTGTAATCATCATCTGATTATATTTACAATTTAACCTTAGAATTATCACGTTTTTGATGGATTTAATTTTCCCATGGAACGCGAAATATTTTTTCGTAGAAGAATTTTTGTATTGATATTAATAAATTGACAGGGATATTTCGTAAAAAAATAATTTTATTAAAAAGGCGTATTCATATACGTGATCTTATAAACGTTAACAACTCGATCCAAAGATATCCACAACAATAATAAACAGAGCTATCACTCACAATTACTCTGATAATATACAAAAGAAAATTCTAATAAGTAAAAATACCGGAAAAATAAATCATAATCGACTTTACCCATCATAATAGGCCTAAACGATGCCTTCGCATCTTTTTTCCTCAGAAAATGATCAAAACTATGATTTCACTCTCTCGATAGTGAAAATTATCTAACGTAATTACAGTTTTCATCGATAAACAACGAAATTACAATAACATGAATGATTTTTTAAGTTGAATAAATGAAAGATCTTGCTCCTCTCGGTGTATTTCCTTTCATTGAGCAATAAATATGTCTCTATTGATAGTTAATGGTCGTTTCTCGAAAATATATTGTTCTTTCCACAGAAAGTAAATTCTCTATTTTTTAAAGACTATTTTTCGATTATTTATACATATTTATGCTTTTGATGAATGAATTATTATGATTATTTCGGGGTCATGGGTTTTTTGATCATTTCTCGGGGCGTTTTCGAAGAAATCTGGGTAATTTTACATTTTTTATTTATCCCTAGCTATCACGATCCAATGAGTCGAGGGTGTCATTGCTGGAGGAGTGGGTAAGATCGCTCAATTCGTCCAGATGCTTCTGGCGTTTTCGTACGTTCCAATGCAGACATTCAGCCAATGAATCAAACCAGTCAGTTATTTGATCTGCTGCACAGATACTGGGCACTGGATAGATAGACGTTGTCACTCGCAAACTGGAGAAAGTCATTAGAGCATTATTAAAATGTCCACTTCTGCAGAACATCGGATAAATCTTGAAAGATCTTCATTTCTCATGATCCCTCAAATTTCACAGCCAATTGACATTCATGATTCAGGAATGACTTGAATTTGTTAGCTGGACTTATCGATTGCTTCCACAAATTTTGGCATTCCCTGGTTTATCCCATGTTTTGCATTAATTTAAATGAAATAAATGAGAGAATCAAAAATAGTCAGACTTATGAGATGATACAGAGAGATAGAATAAACCTGCAATTCACCAGGCACCACCCACGTCTCCTCCCATGGCGTATCAACAATTTTTCGATGATTTCTCGATGAATAGGTGTGATTCTGCATGACTATTTTATTTACAAATGAAACTAGCCAATGATATTGCAGAAAGCGCCAGAGACCCAATGATAATTGAGGGGGAAAATTATTATAGAGAATATAACACCTTTAAATATTAATGGATAAAATATTATGCCAAAATATTACAGGAAAAAATTATTACCGGACGGAATATTATGCAGTAAAAATATCTATTGAGTATAGAATGTTATTAATGCCATTGAAATTTATATACATGGACAACCATTGCTGGTATGTAAGGGAATTTTTAATAATGAATTGAAAAACTGTAGTAAATGGGCAAGTAATTATTTTTTTTGTTATTTGGTGCTGTAGTATTTTTTTTATGTCATATTTTGTGTCGTGACGTTTTATCTTATTATATTTTCTCCTGTGATATTTTTTTTACATTTATTTGTTGCATGATATTACGTATTTGTAATATTTAAGGGTGTAACTAATGACCCCTGATTCTGATCAATCAGAATCGATTTTAAGCAATTGTCCGACCAACCTGTCCCCAGCCTGCAGCTCTTGCTGATTACGACCATCGAAGGAAACGTAGGCTGTGTTACGTGCCTGATCACTAGCTATTATCTGAAACGAGAAACGGTCATTTTAATTACTGCAAATTTATTTAGTCACCTGTCACCGTGGAAGAGCTCCTGGCGATTGCGTCCATCGAATGACACCCAGGATGTGTTCCTACTGTCTGGTGATACCGAAATCTGATATTTGCAGAAGAGAAATAATGACGATTGAATCATTCGAAATTGTTTCCAATTTTTGATCATTTTTCTCCAGGAATACGTCTCATTTCATTAATTATCTGAGAAATAATTTACCCTACAAGAAACCTCCAAGGTACTTTTTTGTAGCTGAGAAAATTCTCTGCAAAAAATTGCTTATCATATTTTCCTCTAAATCGTCAGGTTTCCGTGTTAATCACAAAAAACCAGGTGTCATTTGAGACTACCTCAAGATAATAAAAAACAGTATTTTAATTCGACAATTATCTCGAAAACTGTCAGCCGTACGACAGAAACTTGTAGGAACTTTTTTGTAGTCGAGAAACTTTTTGACAAAAAAGTACTTATGATATTTCCTTCTAAATCGGCCAGTTTCTGATATAATGGGGAATAACGAACCAAGTCTCATTTTCAAATACGTAAATAAGCCAAGATAGTTAAAAATAGTATTTTAACTTGATCATTATCTGGAAAACTATGAGCTGTACGAGAGAAACTCGTAGGACCTTGTTTGTAGCTGAGAAAATTCTCCACAAAAAATGTATCTCACTGAAATGCAGTTGTTATATCTCAATGCATTGAAAACAGAATAATTCCACTCACTCTGAGTTCAACACCAGCTGGGACGACGATGGGTCTGAAGGACAACGAGTGTGGACAGATTGGTGTAATCATGATAGCAGGTACTGAAGGATGGATCATACTCGCTCCAGCAGCCACAGCGTACGCAGTTGATCCTGTTGGTGTACTGACGATCAAACCATCACCTTGAACACTCGTCACGTGCTTTCCATCGATAAATAAATCGATATTTGATAGATAAGGTGATGGGCCACGATCTACAACAACTTCGTTGAGGACGAGGAGATTTGTAGGGGGTTTCGTCGGCTGTCCGTCCTCACCCTTTCTCATTATAATGCATCGTAAGCGACTCCTCAGAGTTAATGCAGCATGACCTAAAAGGATAAGTAGATTTTTATCCAATCTTTGCTCTAATATATTGTCAGATTGGTAGTTAGCATTCTTAAATATTAATAGACAGAATGTATTGAATACTATGGGCGGGAATATTATGTCTGATAAATATTATTCGAGAAAATGTTATTAAAATTTTATTAATTTTATTGGAATTTTCTGGGAGTAATTAAAATATTGTATTAGGTACACAGGCTTTGCTGGTGTTTGCAAGAATTTTGTACAAAAAACTATAATAATAAATTCTTTTCTTGATTTGTTTTTGGAAATATATTATGTTTTAGATATAATAAATATAATAATAAATATAAATAAATAAATTGTGAGGAAGTTATATTTAAGGGTGCAAACGTCAGTTGATTAAAGTTAAATCTTCCTCTGATATTTAGTCATCGGAAAAATGAAATGACACTCACCCTCAAGGACATTAGTAACTTGTTCCTGAAAGTTATCAAACTCAAATGGCGTGAGGAAACCGAGAGATCCAAGATGAAAAGCCATGACAGGTGGCACCGATTGTTGGAACAATAGACTGGCATAAAGCAGTGTCCCATCGCCACCGAGACACACAATAAAGTCAATTCTGTCCTGCAAATCATCAGTACCATCTCGAAAAGTCTGGAGTCTATCACGAACACCCTGGAATCTTGGATCCCTCGCCAACGCCGGATCCTCCAAGACAGACGCCTCCACGAAAACCACCATTCGTTTTTCCTGCAATTTTATTAATGCCCGTGAATTTTTAACTATTAATTCATCATCTGCTGCTCTTCGTGGTGGAGTAGTCGTGTGGGAGACATTTTTTTGATAATTCCGCGATCGTAAATGGACTTTCAGGGTATATTTTCCTGGAAGCACTCATTAACTGATAATTTGAGCGTTATGCAGACTGTTGCGTCAGCTCAAACCGGTTTTTTCACTCGTATATTTTCATGTTAACAATGAATTGTTACCTCTATGAGCCATGTGACTAATTGAACAAAGGGCGGGAGCACTGAGGAGTCACGAACTTTTTTTATTACGAGAACTGTGAGGGGCGGCTTGTACCAGGTCAGTCTCTGGGAGGCTGGATCCTGAATGGTCCTGCAATATCAATTCACACAATAATTGTTTATTAATTTTCAATTATGAATAGAAATCTAACTTACTATTAATTTATCGTAAAAATGCATTATCAATTTTTCTTTATCAACATTCAACAGCGAAAGATTGGAGAAAAACAAACTTATAAATTCTTCTACTAATATCTTTCGATTGGAATTCCCATTTGCGGATTGCATTTCGCATAAAAATAGACAGATTTAGATTCTAGAAAAACATTGTCATCAGTTTTATTCGATGCATCCAGCACTTAAACTCTGAAAATTATGGATTTATTCATAGACTAATTCATTTTATTGACCCATTTTATTTCACTCTATTGCAATTCCACGCTTATGTCTCGTCAAATAAGGGCCAAAGTCTACACCATGAGTTTGTTTACCCTCCGGTTAGATTATTACGTCAACCTATAATACAGTATCTACCATTCGATATTTAGTAAACCGACGATATGAAGTAAGACTTAGTGTTTTTCTTATCAGAGCGTTATCCTCACTCGTGTGAGTGCGCCATGAGTCGACAAGTGAATATTTTTCAATATTCATCAGAATAAACACCTATCCCCATTTCTCCTTCTTTCAAAATGATTAACAAATAAATTTCTAATTTTTTCATTATTCCTGTAAACAAAAATATCAAATAGACTCAATTCCACAATTTTTGCTCCCGAAATTATTTCACAAAAATTTGTTTTATGGTGTGTTGTTCTCCAGTGATCGATTTTTTACTTTTCTTTTTCTTGATTATATTGGGAATATGAAATTCGAATAGACCAATTTGCACTCACAAAATTAATGAAATTTACTCACTTGACAGTTCCCACCATTTTTCCAGTTAAAAGATTTGATTTTCGAATGAAATAAAATTTGCGTATTAAATAAAATATGGTGACACCGAGGATTTGATGTTTTCAAATTGATTTTATGAAATTGTTGTTAAATTGATTATTTGAGATCCGCGCGGACCGGAACCGATCATTTTGCGTCTGTGCTGTGTCGGGAGTCGCGCGCATACTGACCGTCTTCGTACCGCTCCGCGTTTTTTAAAACTTCCTTACGATGAAAATTGAATTACGCATGCGTCATAGTCACCGTGCACTCGACTCACTCACAATTAAATCAGTATTGTAATTCCTGATGTTGTCGCAGTGACGAATGTATTCTCAAAACGTTTTTCTATATTTTTTTGGTGTAATAAGTGCTTCCTCCTGCGCACGAAACATCAAAGTTCATGTCACGGGTTCACTGACACGCTCGTCACGGAAAGAATTGTTTTTTTTTTATCACGACCAGAGACAGTTTTTACGGATTTAACTAGCTTTGTTTTCGTTAACGTACATTGTGTCGCGGCTAGCCGCTCCAGTATTGCCCGATTCACTCTAGAGTCTAGATTCTAGACCGTGCGTTCGCTGCTGCAAGCTTGTGGCAACATTACTGCAAGCTTGTGATAACGTTGCTGCAAGCTTGTGGCAACGTTGCGCGGCTCGCGTTTTCATTTGCTGCATAAAGCGCAATTTTGTGGGGAAAAAATGGTTTTTATCTGTGCGTCTATGTTCTTACGATGGGAAAACATTTCTTTAAGTTGTTGAAGCGTATTTTTATGGTGAATAATTTAAAAAATTAATTACAAAATGGTCACTTATCGTTTGCGGTTGACCTTTTTGATTTTGAGATAGAAATTTCAGAAATTCGAGGGATTTAACACGTGTTCAAATAGAATTTCAACGGTTAGATTTTTTTGAATCAGCAGCTCGTTTTACAGCTGATAAACTTTTTGCAGAGACTATCGCGCTACAAATTTTTCCCTCACTCGTATACCCTTTCGGGTTTTTACGATTTGTTCCCTTCTCACCCCCAACCCCCTGTACCGCATTTGCTGAAGGGAGGGAAAATCTCATCTGAGGGAAAAACCTGCCCTGGTACAGTCGTCCTTTTGACAGAGCGCTATAAATTTTTGACCGCCGGTGCCCGGGATCGAACCCGGTTCCTTGGCATGCTAGTCTAGCACTCTAACCGCACGGCCACTACCGTCGGTGACTACCGCGCTACAATTATACCCTTAAAGTATTTTTCATGCGATGAAAATTTTGAAAAAGTGTGGGAATTTTGTAGAAAATACTGATTTATTCGGCGGAAAAGGAAAAGACTGAAGGTTACAACCGATTTTTTCTCATAATTTTCCGTATTACATCCTTCAAAAATGGCAGTCGGTAATTACTGTAGATAAAAATAGATAAAAAATTCAACAAACTTCAAAAGAGCGTTAAACGGCGGGGTGAAACCTTGACTTTTAATAGACCCTTCACAGTGAAAATTATGAAATAAATTGTGGAAAAATATACACAACCTATCGCAGTGATTTAGACTTATGTGGAATTTCTAAAGTGCTTGCATAAAATTCTGCGAAATTTCCAGGCTGCTCAATTTTATAAAAATAAAAATATCCAGTAGCCGATATTATTTACTAAATTTTCAATACCATTTCTTCTATTAACATTTCGTTCTCACATTTTGCAAGTTTTTTCGTTCAACTTTTCGAATTGGGAATTTCAAAAATTGGAATATTGCTTGAATAAAATTGTTAATAACATAAATAAACTGGTAATCTAAAAAATAATATCTAGTAATTTTTCTTTTCGAAGTTTTCCGACTGAAATTCTTCCATTGATTGCGGAAAAAATCGGATAATTTATCAATTGTGAACATCAAGATAACTCACATGACCATCGCAGAATTTTTGAGAATTCTCCCGCATGGCCCAAACTGCTGAATGGGACTAGGTGCGTTGAGACTCCTGGTTCGCCTGTACAAAAAAAAACGAGGAAACATGAGAATTAATTAAAAATTAATGAATGCGCATGCATAAATCATCATAATGAACATCGGAAAAATTACTAGGTCATAAGCGAACCGATTCACGAAGTCTAGATGTAAGTCACGTTTAAGCTTTACACCAAGTTAGAAAAAAAAAACCATGATTCCAAGATCACAGTTCGTTCGATACCTGAGAACCCGATTTTTGTGTCCGTTCTCCAGGGGTACTTTCGCGTCGTTCTCCATGTGATCGAACTCAAAAGTTCCATCGATAAATCCAAGAGCCGAGGCCTCTCGGAGAGGTGACACTTGATCCATTTCAAAGTCCGATATCACAAAATCACCTCAACATATCTTTCAAAAAATACTAAATTCACACTGATGTCACTATCCAAAAGAACGATTGACTAAAATGGATTTTAAAATTATTTAAAGGTGGAGTTGAGATCTGATTGCTGTCGGGGCTATGATGAATACCGAAAATATACAAGACTTGAAGAATATTGATAGTAGCATGAACGTCACGAGAATTAATACAACGAAAAAGCACGTGTACAGGAAAAAAAAAATATCGATTTCCAGGTCAAAGGATCAGACAGTCTTGGAGATGTTGTCTCGATCAGCAAAATCGAGGAACTGAATGGACTCCTCATCCTTGCCGAGTGAAAAGGGAAGGCCTGAAAGGAATCCGAGGTAACTATACACCTGGAATGCAACAATGAAGGGACGTGACGTAGCGAATACCTGGTGAGTCAGCACGAAACAACTTTTTGACCATCGGCTGTTAGAAAGACGAGAAAGAATAGCCCAGAAGGAACAACAGCGATTCCAATAGCTCCTCGCCTTTGATCGCTATTTCGATGAAAACAATTATTTTTATTCTGCTATTTTGAGGGATATTTTAATGACTGGAGGAATAATTTGCCGCGGTAACCTCGAAGGAAGGCCACTTGCTCTCACTGTTTCTTTTCATCAAGGAAGAGGTAAGGTCATGAACGAGTGATGAAAGGAAAATGAAAGGAGCCGAAACACTTGGTATTTTTTTTGGTGATCGGGGGAATTCCTGTAGCTTGGGCGAGTGGGATTGGACAATAGGTGTCTAGGTCAGCAAATCGTTATAATCATCTACGAGAAATCAGAGCTTTAGCTGAAATTCCTGGCATTCCGGTATTATCAAGGTTTTTGGGAGAATCTTTGCCGGATTTTTCAGTTTTATTGTCATTCAATGACGCAAACTCGCGTTATCGTACGCACTGTTGGAAAATTGCACTTGGAACTTCAAGTAACACTTGAATTGATTGATTTTTTATAATCATTAAGCGCTATTAGATTTCGGTGGAAGTCTTCATTAAGGGTTCTGTTAATTTGAAGAATATTATAGGAGTTCTTAATTTTTAGGTCTATATGACACTGAAAACCCGGGGAAATGGGAAATTAGTAATCGATTGAAAATTCTGGTGCATTTTCCGTTGATTTTTTACGATCCGCATGAAAATTCAAGCATTCACTGAACATTCAATTATCATTTTATATTAAAAACCCAATTTTCTTGAATTTTTTAAGACAAATGAGAAATTCATTAATCGTTTTTAATTGAAATTAAATTTTAACTCTCATAATTAAAAATTCAGATGACTTTGTAACCGAAACTGCTAGAAATTTCTTACAGCGAATTGTTTCACGATTTATTCAAACATTTAGTGGGAATCAGAAAAAATATTAACGAATTGCCAAAAAAATCGGTTTCAATAAATTTCCCAGAAATTTTCGTTATTGCATAAACCGGAAAAAGAGTTTCGGAAAATTTTAGACGCAAAAAATTGAATGATTTTTCATTGAATTCGAGTAAAGAGTAGTTTTCTGATTGCGAGATGAAGACTAAAATTTGCAATTTCACACTGAAATGTAATCCAATGGCTGAACCACTCGAAATGATGACTAATCTTCTGATAATTAGAATCAGATAACGTACTGCTATCCTAGACCTGGCAAACAAAACAAACACCGATTTGTGGTCGAATTATTTTCAAATGATGATTGATTTCCCTTTCAGGCATTCAAGGTACTTTCCAATCGATTACATGATCGAATCGACGAGAAATACTAGACGCAGTGATATAACATCACTCCCTCAGGGACATGCAATCCTTTTCGCGATCCTCAGCTCATCGATATTCAATGAATCGACGAGAAACATGTATGCAAAAATCACAGGTTCTTGTATTTCTACCCTGAGGATTAGACAAATCCTGTTGTATTACAGGATTACCTGTTGTAATGCACTAATAAAATATTTCAATCACTTATCAGAGCACTTGGTGGAGTCTGGACAATTCAGATCACACCAGAAATTACGAGTTTCGATTATATTAACCGATTATTTTTTTTCTCGATCAATCTTTTTCTGCTTAGAGGTAAGATGAGGAAAAAATTGTCTGTTGGCGCACGAGACAGACGTTATCGGAGTCGGAGTTACACGCGGAATGACGAGTGCTCCATGACTCGTATCTCGAAAAAGGAAGGGGTAAATTCCTCCCGGTCCTCATGAGATATTTTGGCTCTGTTGGTAAGTACGGAATTATCTCTCCTTTTGTTTATCGTTTATTTGCAATAGTAACACGCTAATGCAAATTACAGACTCCATTTGTTTTTTTAATTTCTAAATTTATGGCGACCTTGACGATTATTCCCGATTTTTTTGGAATTAATTATGAAATTATTCTTGTTTCTCTCTGCCGCTCGAACATTTCAAATTTCATTCAATATTTCGCAAAATTTGGAATTCTTCAATTACATGATTTTTTTTTTTTTTTATACAGAAATTAGTACATTTTTTGTTTAATTAACATTCAATTATCAGGAGTATTACTAATGAATATTATATTATTGATATGAATTAATAAATATTGTTCAACTGCGATGAATATTAATGTAAAAAAATGCTGAATCTGCAGAATTAATTGATGAATGAGAGAAAAACCTGATCTTCTATCTCGAATTATAATGAAAATTGTATGCGCAGTCACAAGATAAATCCTACCAATTGACGCAAAGTACTCATGCACATGATCATGCAATGATACGCCTAGAATTATTGAAATTTACGCGATTTCTTCAATTTAAAATATGAAACGATGTGATGCATGCGTGACACTATCTTCAAGGAGACATCAACTCGGACATGCAAGAGAATCTTATCAATTGTTATAGATAAAAAGCATGTCCTGGCCGCTTCCTCCAGAGAAAAAAGTTATATCGTATTGCCATGAATACGTCGTTTTAGAATTAAAAATTCACGTGGAGATAAAATTAACTGTTTATGTAATCGGGGGAGAATGATAGCTTTTATGCTTGTTGCATTTTTTTTCTGAAGCGTGCATTCGCGGTTTCAAGGGTCCCGCGTGTTTCTGAAGTGGCAATTAGTAATACAATCTTCTTAATAATGGAAATGATATGACATGAGCAAATAATACGGAATATTTCACGAGAAAAGAGAACGCTGGCATAGAAAATTGATATAAAATATTTCCACGGAAAAGATTGGAAAAATAAAAAGCTGTCATTTTTTCCAAATATTCGGTTGAAGGATTTTTAGTAATTTCTTACGATTACAAAAATAATCTTCATATTTTGGCTCAAATTTCTTTGATAATAGATAAATAAATAAATATTTATTAGGTTTTCAGACAGATTACGGGAGGAATGAAAGATTTAACGGGAATTCCGAGTGAAAATCTTAATCAGGTGCAGATAAAAATCGAATCAGGTCGTGTCTGATGTCAGATTAGGAAGTGACATGGCCATCGGAACCGCACCTGATCAATAGTGCAACGACATTTTTAATCAAGACTTGCTCAGGTCGAACAGTTCAGGATTTGATCAAATTATTATCTAAACCGGATGATGGGAATAAACAATAATTAATAGTAGAAACCAAAAAATAATTGGATTTCGTCACTACGATTCACCTATCCTATTAAGCTTCTCTTATCATGTTTCGACAGCAAAATAACGCGAAAATCTCATGACATTTTTCGCTTGTTCCTAAAGATTTAGCAATTGTTGTTTTACCTGGCGTCTGTATCTTCTTCATTCGTGATGTCGACGTTTGCTGTCAACATTTCCATGATTATGACACTGGGATTACAGGAGGAAAATGTGTAGAGGTTAGATGTGGTTTAACCACGAAAATAATTGTCCGACACTAGGCCACGTCGATGCACCAACGCCTGTGCGCAGACGTTAAAGCAATACAAATGCTCATGTGTATTGGTTTCAAATTAAGTAACGAAAACTCAATACGATAGATATTTTTCGATCACAACATTGGATTTCCTTCTGTCATTAAATGTAATTGCAGCTGTGTATTATTAATATGGGGGAAAAAAATGGGAATGTTGTTTTGTTTAATATAAGGAAGTGGCAGATACAGAAAGCAATGTTTGTACTTTTAATATTATTTATTATTATTTATCTATTAGTCTTTAGTCTTTAGTGGTTTTTAGATGTTCCCTTCGGAAGTTCGGGAAAGTGCAACGAGCCTCACTGCCATTTTACACTCTGCACTTGTATATATTTTATTATTATTACTAAATTATTATTATTGCTACAATTGATTTTTACCAGCGAGCGGTGGGTATTAAAAAAATTAAAAACAGAATTAAATTATAAAATGTAGTTTTACGTAAAAAGATTGTCAATCTTCTTTAAAAAAAAATTAAAAATCTATTAGTCTATTAGGAATTGAGTAATTAGGAATTAATTGATGATTACTAAAATTGTGGATCTCATGAAATTTGTGAAATTGAAAATAACTCCTTGCATAAGACTTTGAGTATTTTGCAGTTATCAGGCTATTGCTGGGTTTTGATAGTGAGAGTACTTGCTATGAGTATACAAAAATTAATAGTTATTAATGTTAATAATATATTTGCTATTAGCCCATAGCTTTTTTAGTCCATATTAGTATTTTATAATTTTTCTTAGAACAGCATCAGGATAAGGAGAACTTTTCAGACAGAAATAATGAGGGATGAATAAACAAGGGCCTTTTGGAATATGGGTCCAGAGTGTGAAAATTTTGGTTGCTATGGGTCAGTTGAGCTGGAAAAGTCATAGGGGAATGATATACCTTCTGAGTGCGTTTAATAAAAGTTAAAGTCTGAGCTAAATCCGTTTTTATTATTTGTTAATTCCTGTCCATAATCCGATATTAGCTTCAAATAGATAATCTGTGATTCTTCAAATTCAAGTCTTGAATTTTATTTGGTCTGGGAATAAATAAACAAAAAAAAGAGAAATGTCTGCTACCGAAAGATTCCTCTTGACTTAATTTTCTCTCACATCATCACCGATATTTCCATCAGTATCATTATAAAAATTCCTGAAGTACTTGTGAACCTTTATTGCGCTTGCTTGCATCAACATTATTTTTATCCCGTGAATTATCACCTCAATCTAGTGCGAGCAGGTGAAAAACACCAACTAGAACGAAAAGAGAAAGGATACTAAATTCTTACGAAATACATTCGACCTAATAAAACCTTGATCTGGCCCTTTTCCCAAGAGCTCCACTATTCTAAAACAATCCATAAAACTTCAAGCCAAAAATAAAAAAAAATTAAAAATTCAATAACAAAAAAGTTGTCAATTGAAATTGACATCAAACTCACAAAATAAAAAATGCAAATGACATTGTAATTGAGCAATCCATTAAACTCTAAAATAAAAATCATGTTCCGTCAATTTTTATCTGAAATTCACGAGAAGAATATCAATAACAGCTTCGGATTTTTGATTTCTGTCTTGACCTACGACATGCGGAAATTTTACGTAACGTACAAAATTTTTTTGCCCATAAAAATCGCGTAACAGATCAATAAAAAATAAATGATAATTCTCCAACTCACGGCCAAGTGCCGGATCGTCTCCTCCTTCGGCCCTCGGACTCATCGCAATAATCCGCACCCTCGGGAATTCCATTCCATTCCCGGAATTCCCCGACGCTCCTCCTCCGTGATTTAATGTCCCTCATCTCCGGCGATTCACTTCCACCTCCTGACCCCCATAGAATCCACTAAATCCCACGATAATTCACCGATTTCCATTCATCGCGTCATCAAACAGGAAACTATCGATTTCAAATAATCAGTTTCCGCCGCCGAAGGTCAGATGGCATTGATCGCGACTTCCAAATACATGATCGATAGTTTTATCGATCGGTGCGTGTCAAAATCGTGGGTTTCACGTGCCACACTGACTTGTCACTTGAAAAAAAAAATCACCACTCCGATTTAAATCGCTAATTTTACCGACAGACACGAATTAATTTTCCTTAATCAATAACACTTGTCGGCTCTCGCACTTGCGATTTTTGCTACCGAAAATGGATTCTCACGACTTCTTTTTGCACCGAAGAAGAATGAATGGTCTTGTCTACTGAGAATTGTCAATCTCTGGGATTGAGGTATGAATTGATTTGAATGTTTATGAGCTCTGGTATCAGTGACGGCCGCAGCTGTATTACTGAGGAGAACGAAATATATTCAAACCAGCTGTGGCATGACTCGCATGAGGGGCAACGAGCTCACAGCAATTCTGCCCCATCTATCCCCCCCTTTTTCCTCAAGCACTTGCCTATGGCGGCAATCATTATGATAATGCTGCGATGACACAAAAAAAATGAAAGCGAAATTCCATGCACCAGTTGGCTGAGATTACAAGTGTCTAATCGCTTTGTTTTCTTTTTCTGATTTTTGTGAGGATTGGATCTCTTAGAAAGTTTGAGTTGTTTTTTGGAAGAGCTTTTTCATCGAGCATCAATCCCGGTAATCATTAAGATTATGTGATGATAAAAAAAATGAGGAAAATTCCATGCACCAGCTGATCGAAATTATGAACGCTCTAAGAGTTTTCTTCTAATTATTTGTGAGGATAAGATTTTCTTAGAGAGTTCCCGTGGTTTTTTGGGGAAGAGCTTTTTCCTCAGGCACTTGTCTATGGCGGAAATCATTATGATAATGCTGCGATGGCACAAAAAAACGAAAGCGAAATTCCATGCACCAGTTGGCTGAGATACTGAACATTCTGATCGCTTTCTTTCTTTTTTTCTGAGTTTTGTGAGGATTGGGTTTCTTAGAATTATATGTATTTTTCGAGTCGATTCCGTAATCGGTAAGCGAACGGAAAGTTTTGGAATTTTTCCTAAACGAGAGAACGTACCGCGCGCAAGCGCGCGAGTATGAAACGATTTCTGTAGGAGAGTCATGACTTTGTAATCTCGCGCCACTTTAGGCGGACCAATAAGAATCTCGGCTTCATGATTTCGAGATTTTCGAGATAATCGATTGTGTCAAGCGTGCACATTTTAGAATAGGACGAGAATCCGTACGGCGCGTAGGCGCGCGGGTATTAAAAGATTTCTGTAAGAGAGTTATGACTTTGTAATCTCGCGCCACTTTAGGCGGACCAATAAGAATCTCGGCTTCATGATTTCGAGGTTTTCGAGATAATCGATTGTGTCAAGCGTGTGCTTTTTAGAATAGGATAGGAATAGGAGTATTGTTCTGGGGATTTTTTTAGACAGAACAAAAACCACTCAAACGTTCTACGAAAATCCAAAAAACTCACACACTTACAAAACGTAAACAAAACTCTCAGAACCCTCACAATTGGTTGAAATTACGAGCACTCCAAAAATTTAATTCACTTTTTTTGTGAGTCTTGCATTTTTTTGGGGAGGATTTCCTTAAAAATTTCGAGTTCCTTTCTTGAGAGAACTTTTTCCTCCAGTACTTGTCCATGACAGTAATCATTATGACAACGTAATTGCAATAACGAAAAACGGAGCGAAATTCCACACGCCAATTTAGATTACAAGTGCTGTAACATTTCCTTTACTTTTTCATTTTTTTTATTGTGTGTTTTGAGAAATTTATGTGAATTTTTCTCGGTGTAAAATGAATCCCTTTAGATTGAGATTGAGGTTTTGAGCGCAAACATCCGCACTAAGTGAATTTCTCAAATTCAGTTAATATTATTGGGGTAAGAAGGGAAGAAGCCAATTGGTTTTTAGGGCATTGAGAGTGAAATTGCTCGATGATTGAACTATTCATGTGGAGGGAAAGTGATTGAGCATTAGAGCCCATTGAAATGGAAACGGATGGCCACACGTTGTCCTACAATATTGATGTCAACAGAATAGGCCAGTTGTATTGATTATAAGTGTGCTCACGCCCTTTCCTTGAAAGTGTCTCTTCTATCCGAACAACGATGAACAGCTACGCGTTGACCTCGTGTAAAATCGATACCGTTATCGTTAACTACGTTTTGACCGTGTGGTATGCATTACCGTCGCACTAAAAGTCTAAGAAATTACACGAGGAAAAGTCGTTTTGGGTCTCAAAATTTTCACGAAGGCCCATTTTGACCGATTTATTAAGATTTTTTTTAATCAAGTTTTTTTTTATTCAACAGAAATTATTTACATTATTTACACACCTTAAAAAAATTAGTATAAAAAAACAATGGTTACTCAATAATATTAATTACAAAAGAAAAAAAACATTATGGACTATAGAGGCTCTCGATTTTTATCGTTATTTGTCATAAGCTATAATATTTATTAAGATCAAACTGTTCAAAATGCCCGAGGAATAATTAATAATTAATGGAAATAATTAATCGGTTAAGAATGTTCTGCAAATTCGTTATATTCATCGCAATTAATTTTCAATGAATGTTTTAATGCGTTAATTAGTTGAAGTAATAGCCATAGAAAATTATTATATCGTATTTGATTTCATGAATGAATATTAAATTGTTTAAACAAATTAATGGAAAACAAATTTCAGTCAACCGTCATGAAGGTTTTACCGTCGTTTTATCTGCTTCAGTAGTAAATTTTCAAAATTTCAACACAATTTTAGATTTTTTAATATATTTACAGAAATTTTTATTCTCACTATAAAAGGACGTGTTAATTGATAACTTTGATAATTAATAACTACGAAACGGTGTTCTGAATCAATCTCAAATTTTATACAAACATTCGTTATCGTTTCAAAAATATTGTCGAAATTTCAAGCAATTTTTATATCTTTACCAATATATGCAAAGCGATCTTATCGGAAAAATTAGATTTTAGAAAAAAGTCGCTTTCCTCTCCCAAAAATCCTAGACTTTTTTTTACCGATTTTTTAAGGTTTTATTATTTTTTGTCAAGTAAATATACGTTGAAGCAATCATTGGTTACTGGATAAATTTTATACTAAAAACAATAAGTCACTTTCCTCCCCAAAAACCCTAGATCGGCCTCTGAGCCGCGACCGATTTTTTTTTTTTTAATATTCACTTTTCCGACGAGAAATTCAATCGGAATCTATTCAATAATCCCTAAAAACTTGTCTTCTGGTGCCATAATCGATGAAAGCCGACTGTTAAGGTTGTTGTCGCGCGACAGTCTCTGTAAAAAGATTATCCGCTGTAAAACGGGCCCGTTTAGAACACAATCTTTTAGCGGTATATAGTCTCACTTGATTGATTGCATTGTGCATGGATAGCTAAAGCATAACTATATATTTTCCATATTAACTATTTTCAATTATATAAATTTATGAATTTCCGATAATTATATTCCGTAAACCAAACGGTCAATCGATTTGATTTTTTTTTCTGTATTTCCTCCCACGATGTATATTCCACGTTTTTTTTATTTCTGAAACTGTCGAGCCGTTGATTTTTAAAAAATTCTAATCGGCAAAACTCCATTTAAACACGTGTTAAATCACTCGAATTTCAAAAATTTATATCTCAAGTTCAAAACGGTCAATTGCAAACGGAAAAGGCTCATTTTGTTGCTAATTTTCCAAACTATTCACCATAAAATTTTTAACGAAAACTGTCGAAAAAAAATTCTACGCGACAACAACCTTAATACATTGAGAGTAGCCTCCAGCAAAAAAAAGGATAGATATACTCATCGAAACAGCACCCACTGTTACATGTACTAAATATATTCAACAGTTGGCGCCACATATATTGAACTCATTACTCCGCAAAACCAGTTATCGAGTAACTGGTGTGATACTGATGCATGAAAAAGTTAACAGAATTTCTTCCATGATTGCGAAATCCTTCATGACGAAAAATCGTTGCATCCTCGGATCTCATTGAGAGTAAATCACCCACTGCGCCATTATATATTTCAAAATACCAAATCACATAAATATATATCACAGAAAAATTCAGGGTTTTCTTTAAAAAAAAACGATTCAATCATTTCCTAATTTTTTTCTCATTCACAATATCTTTTTTAAGAGAATTGATGGTAAATTCCAGCACCACCCTTCACAACATTTTTCCTGACTCATAATTTGCGACCTAGGTTTCACCTTTGAATTTATATACTTCAAGTCACCTCATCTGAAATAGGATATGTGCTTGTGTAGGTGCACGAGACTATTCATCTTCTCCTCCGTTCTAGAGGTATGAATTAATAATATTTATAAATCATTGATGTATTTTTTATAAATTCTAACACGCAAGATATGATTTTTCATTGGAAATCATACCACTGGCTAGCGTTACTCAGGGTTCGCAACGGGGATACAGCTAGTATATGATCTGGTCTCAGATATGATTACACATGATCCAAAGATCATATATGATCTGATGTCCATCTTCACCTAATTGGGACCGACGGTATTTTCAATCAGATCGCCCTTAGGTACGATGTTGGTTGGCTAGTCAAGGTGTCAAATAAATTTTATTAAATATTGATGTCCTTTAATGAATTAATTAAAACAAAATTGTCGACAGAAGTTGGATCGAAATTTTGCAGAACTCTGTCAATTCTGCCCGATGCCCATTAACACGAATTTTTTGACAATGACCTTGTCGCAATAATCGGAGCGCATAATTTTTTTTGAGTAAAAAAAATCAGATCCTAGATAAAAAGTAAAAATAGTCGCTTGATTAACGCCTGCGAGGGGTTTTTGTCTGTTTTCTCTTGTCCTACTTGTCGTGGAAGAAATAATAGAGAATAAAGACAGTAAAATATTGTTCTCTAGATTTTTTGGCCGATTTCTGAAATTCGAGGTCTTAACACTCGGGTGTCATAGCCGTTTGACTTTCTACGGAAAAAGAAACTTTGGACTTTCTCGTGGAAGGATGTGATGAATTCGTCAATTATAGTCGCGAATTCCTCGGGATTACGAGACGGATCTCTGGCAGGCATAATTTCCAGTTGATTTGATTACGTTTTCAGAAAGTGCAAGGTGCGATGGTGGTGTAATGGTCAGCATAGTTGCCTTCCAAGCAGTTGATCCGAGTTCGATTCTCGGCCATCGCATTATTTTAACAATTTAAAATATATTTTTTTTTACTTCAGCAGTTCTAAACAATTAAAATTCAATTGTGAAGAGATTATATATGATTGGGAGGATAGCAATGACACTATGCGAATTACTTGGAAGCATCCTATTTACAAAAATGTCATGATTAAATATTTTAACTATTATTTAACGATTTAT